AGGTACCACAGTATTTGTAGACTTGCCTGAACTTCCTAAACTTTTAGGCCTATTTCCAATACAGAGGGCAAGCTGCAGAGCCAGAGGAATTCTGGCGTGGGAACAGCCTACATCTAACTGCTATGTTTCTTGGAAGGCTGCAAATCACTGGCCTTCTCTAATGAAGTGAAGCAGCACCACTGCTTTAATCGAATTCTGAGAACACACTACTTGCAGAGGTGAGCTCTATAGCTTCCCACCAGCGGCCTAGCCTCACAAGTGAGGTCGAGCATGCCAATTAGAGTAATTTGTGCACTGTGGATACCTACCGTGCACTGGCTCGAGATCTGGTGTTGTTTCCCACCACCACCAGTGTGTGTACATAGCCAACTCAGGATTACCTCTGGTTACTGTTGTCACCCAACGGGCAAGACTAGCTTCCTCCTCTCTCCCAAAACTCCTTATTGCTACAAGGAAGTAGTCCTAACTATCAGATTACAGACACCAAGATAAATGGAATACTTGCAAAAGAATGATATCAGCTCAGGCCCACTTACAGACTGGGAGTTTGGGACTGCACTATCTTTTTTATAGGGACCCATTAGGAAATACATTTCTGCTTTACCTTGTAAACTGCATGAAGTCTCGTTTATTAGGAAAAAGATGTGTTTAAGAGTATTGCCCTCGAATCAGTTCAGACCAGTAAGATGAAAATTCTCTCCAAAACTGCAGGAGTTTTGGAACAGAACCGCTGTTCTCACTTGAGACCCTATTAAAAGGCTTACTACTTCCCCTCTTCTGGGATTAGGTAACAGACCACCTTCTAAGCAGCTGTGTGCCTCTACTGCAATACTAGAGGGGAAATAAAAAGTTGCAAGCATCCTAGTACGTAACTCCAAATGGCAGACTCATGGCATCTGCTTAGATCTGCTGTATCAAGTCTTTCTTCTTTGCAATCACATGCATAAGTCATTACTTAATTTCACGCCCTAACTGCTCCAGCCAAATTACAGCAGAACAGGGATGAACATCCCAATCTGTCCGCACAGCATACGTTTACAAAAGCTGTATACTACAGTATAAGGAAGTTATTTTGATTCCTATCACAGGCTAATCTTGTTTTTGTGACTAAAATCAGTGCGAGGAGCTGCTGCACTATTATGGCTATTCTTCTTTAGAGCACTCTTTAAACGGTAATCCAAAGGTGGCTTTAATCACAAGATTCAAGAGGATCTCGGTAGCACGTCAGCCTGCTATTAGAAACAAAAAATCCGCAGGTTTTCCTCAAGATATTAGATGCTTTCTCTAAATTGCTAGATCTTTTTTGACTCCTTGTATTTTTAACCAATGCATATTTTGAAAATACATTAAGAATATTCACATAAAATTGAACTATATTTGTTGTGTTTAACTGTAGAAAACTTACATCCTGAATGAGCTTCTGTCAATTTCCACACAGAGTGTTTGTGGTTGAAGTAACTGAAGTGAAATCAAAACATTCAAATTTTGAAGGAGTTCTGAGAAAATGCTCCCTGGGAAAATTGCAATTAGATGAAGACATGCACTTAATTGAAGAAAAAACAACTTCAATCAAAACCTGAGCTCCTACTGCTTTGTCAAGTCAAAAAAACAAAAACACAAAAAACCAAACACCCATGGCAGGGAGAAGGCTGTAAGAGATCTACAGTTTTAATGTCACTTGTCTCACCCTTCAGTCCTAGAAGGGGCTTCAGTATTACTATAATTTCAGATCCACTGCAATAATTCTCAAGAGAAAGTCGTCATAATGCAGCGGCTCATGTCCTTTCTCTCACCCTTTCTGCCGAACAACTGAATACTTGCTAAACAAGAGAATAAAAACTGAACAGGGCCCATCACAGGCTCTGCCCCAGATTTTGAAAGAACCAGGTTTTGCAAACTTCAGATCAAGAGAATGTTTTCGTAATTTTTTCAAGGGATTTTTCCTTCTTTTAGGTAACAGGAAGGAAACACTCCTTTGTAGTTTTTCTACCCAACCAATGCAAGACAGAAAGAGAAAATGGAAGTGACCACATGAGCAGTAGCCACATTGCATTCTCCAAGCTAAAAAGATAATTACACAGCTAAATCTCTAAAGCTAGTGTCTGTAATGACTCCAGCTGTTCTTGCAAATGGAAAATAGTTTAACAGCATAACTTGGCCCATCATCAGATGTCAACTACAAGCAATAAAATTAACTGAGCACATTCTGCATCTCAGATTGGGTTGGGAGATGAGTTCACACTAAGTCTGAGAAAACAGAACTGCAACTACCACGGACGTTATAACAATACAAAGAAAGAACACACACAGAGCAAGTACTGGAGTCTGTAATCGGAAAGCAGTACTGACCAATGATGAGTGAGGATGATCTGACTAATGAATAACTTAAGCAAGAGGTATGGCACGCAAGCCAGAAGAGTCATCCCTCAGGCACAGCAATGCTTCAGAAATGAAGGAAAAAAAAAAAAAAAAAACCTTAATACATAGTGACCAGGTGCATGCAACGCTGATACTACACTACTTCTAGAGAGGCTACTTTTAGAGATACATGACAAACGTTTTATCACTTTGTATCATAATTTTTGCCTGAAGATCCACTTTGCTGTAACTAGCCTATCAACCCCAAGATCACTAGTGACTGTGCAGTACAACAGACCCCTACCCAAATAAGAAGATTATGAGCTCTTCTTCTAAAGGAAGCAGTCAACGTAACCCTTCAGAAAAATGAAGGCTGACCCTTATGCTTCCCATGAAGAGTTACACTGCCAATATTATGCTTCCCATCCAGCCACCCTGCCCTTTCTAAAGTACCTCTTAAAGTACCAGACTATCAATTCCTCAGTAAGTCAAAAGAAAAGCAATCTGAGATTTTCCCCTCCCATCACTGACACCAAGAGTCACACTTCTTTTAATTCTTCCTCTACAAAGAGTTAGCAGAACTTGCGATACAATCTGGTGTTACGAAGAAGGCTATGACACACCACTACTAGATACTTACTGACCCTTAGGATTCCCTCATTCAAGAATATTTCAGAAGTGCTGAGAAGAGTCCTACAGCTTAAGCAGTTTACTATGGCTCAGAGTAAGCAACATGCCATAGTTCTCCTCACAGCTTACCTTTTTTTCATAGCCAAAGACAAAACCAGAGGATCTAAAAGTGAATGAGGTTTTTGTAGAGGGCATTTTGTTTTTCAGAGGGGAAGAAGGAGGAGTCCAAGGAGTCTACTTCAGATCAACACTAATCTAGACGAGGCAACGTACACAGCACTGGCTACCTCCAGGAGTGTAAGGCTAATATGGGACTTATTATTGGATAGAAAACTATTCAAGCCAGCTCACTTTAAACACCTTACACAAGGTTCAGACTTGCTCATTTTCCCACATAAGAAGGGCTGAAAGAATACTAGTTAGATATTACACTTGCAAATGATCGTTTCAAAAGGAGTCTCCTAGAGCATCCCAGGATAACTGCCAGAAAAAGAAATAAATACTAAAAATGTCAGCAAGAGTCCACCAACCTTAAGCTAGCTGCAGAAGGCTATTTCCCCAATAAATTTACTTCCAGGTTTATGTTTTAGGGCCAGAAAGCCCCTATAAACATACTGCTTGCCTTTTACCAAGTAACGCAGAGTTTTTCCTGTCTTCTGCTTGAGCATTTTAATACAGTCACTTAAGGAGCAAGATCTACCACATCCTCAGTGGTTACGTTCCCTCATTGTTTAAAACATACATCTCCTTCTAGATCAGTAGCTCTAGTTGCTACCATTTTTCAGCCTTAACTAGTGGAATTTCAACAGGCATCTGCTTTCATATAGCACAAGAACTTGTCATTTGAATCTGCTTTGGAGGGCAGGTACTGACTCTTGAACAAACATCAATTTTAGCAAAGTCAGACGGCATCTGAGACATAGCATCTGACACTATGACAAGCTCCAGCACACCCATCGCACTGAAACCTGAAGCATTTAAACTATTCTAGCAAGTCTGTTTCCTATGCATGTTTTGAAATGGATAAGCAAGGGCTCAGATCTGCAGACTATTAAGGGCCTCCTTGCAAGATGCTGCAAGTGTAACATCTTTACAGAAAGGGAATGATTCTGCATTTGAGTCATAAAGCTGGACAGACACACAAGCGTGTGAACTGCACCAGCAGTCATCTGACTGCCCTCACTTTGTTAATATGCTGGATGACAAGAATTGAGAAGTGCAAAGGGACTTCAGTAAACTTGTAGCATTACTGTAGAAGAGAACGCCTCCTTCCCTTTTTTATAGCTGTTGATCTCCGAGAGGGAACTTCTTCTTTTGTTGAAACTCCAACTAATAAGCTGACTGCTCTTCTTCTGATTTTTACCGCTGCATCAGATTAACACTTTGAATCAAATCTATTAACCTCCCATGTCTTCTGCAGTAAAAGACTTTTAAAGTCTTACAATACTGATGCTTTTAACCAATACCAACAATCATCTCACCCTGTTTTGCACAGCATGGATGATGTTAGGATCGGGGGCAGGGAGGACGCCTTCCACAGGACTGGCAGATGACCAGGAGTGACTATTGTCAAAGATCACAGAAAGTTTCATAATGAAGTCATGCTACTCACTGGCATGCTACTCACCTGGTCATAAATGCATGAGAAAGGACTCCTGTCCCCCCCTCCCCCAAGAGCTGACCCTTTACACTTGTGACTGAACTGCTTTTTCATGATAAATATCACTTACGCATCTTCCTCCACCAAAAAGGTGCAGATTAATGTTCATATAAAGTCTACCACATTAACTGTAGCGGTTGTCAAGAGCCCATCAGGACGAGCCCATGCTGAATAAATGAAAGCACGCCAATGCTGCATTTTAGTGCTTTTTAAATTAATTCAATTGCACTATGCACACACACAAAAACTACTGGGGAAGAAAAAAAATCAAGAAACTATTTGCATACCTCTCAAACAAACAAACAAAAAAAATCCGGATTAAGTTTATTTCTCAACTAGAGAACAATTTTACCTGCAGGCAGGACAGCCTCCGACTACTACTACAGAAGTGGTGGTAGCAGGCTGTTGAATAATGGTGTACGTGTTTGAATAGTTTGGCTGCGCTGACGGTGGAGGAACTGCATACCCTAGAATAAGAAGAAACAACTGAATTACTGCATGCGAAGCACACAACAACAATAACTTGGTTAAAAGTATGGAAACAGAACTGTTTAACAGGGAGGAAAAAAAGTAAACAGAAATGTAGTCTTGATGGAGCACTTCAAGAATCTGTATCAAAATAGAGTTGGAACATACTACTCAGAACATCCGATTGGGAAGCCCCTTCATAAATCCAAGTATCTAGTAAAATTTAACCACCTAAAAAGCACACTGAGCTAATAATTAACTCAGGAGTTTGTTTCAATGCTGTTAGAATACCAGGGAGAAACAGTTCAAACAAACGTGGATTGCAGATTTCACTTCCAGAGGTTATGTATCAGGTATGTCCCACCCCAACACACAAAATAGTTGAAAGAGAGGGAACCTTCCTCTGGTTTCCAGCTTAACTTCCACACATTAAGTTTATAACTAGAGGACCAGGCAGAGTAGGAGGATGCAAGCAGTAAGGAAGCAAGTTGCACAGCACAGAGAGAAGTCTCTCAGAAAAGCCATGGGACTAACCAGTGAACGTGTCATTTTAACAGCTGTATTTAGAATACTGAAAAAGCTTTTGGCTACTGCATTAACATTAAAACAAACAAAGGAACGCAATAAATGCTTAAGTGGATAGTAAGAGATATGCAGCATGATCACACTGTCAAGGTACGCTTTGCCCAGGTATAGTCTAGCTCGAGTTTCTCTCCAGTGCATAGTTCTGATTTTCTTGAACCAAGTTATACACTGAAAAATGTAATTCTTCACAATTTAAAATTAAAAGAAAAATCATCAACAATATTTGTATTATAGGAGAACGTGCTCCAAGTTACTAACAGGAAATTTATCTGTGGCCTCAAGACTCAATCCAATGCTCAAGGACTGGGGTCAACACTTACCGTATTCAGGGTGCTTTCTGTCACTTTTGAACGACTCCCTTAACTCTACAGAGCCTTTCCTCTCCCTACTGGCTACTTTCTCCTTCGGCTGCGATCAGCCCTAATGCAGTTAATAGGACTATTGTATCTACTCCCCTGCGAAAGCCTCTCCAAGACTACTGAAGCGTTATCAGAAAAATAAACATTAACCAGAGAGCACAGTGAAGTGCATGAAAAGAAAAGGGCAAGCTTTTTTTTAATTTTTTTAAGAGGCAAAGTGCTAACGCTGACGCATCTCTTTGCCCCTGTTCCCAAGGCGGTTCCGAGGGCATTCCGCCGGGAGCACACACCGGCGCGGCGCGGAGCGGCGCAGCACCTGGGGGCGG